CTTCTCTAATGCTGGAATTACAGATATGTGCCACCATACCTAGCTTTCTTCGGTTCTTTACCTTTGACTTTTTCTTACTTTCTAATGATCTTAACTGTATGTTTAAAACTGATATTTATTATAATTTATTCTACATCTTATGTGTTTGGAAGTATCTTTTGTTTGTTTGATTTGTTTTGGTTTTTTGTCTTGTCTTTTTGACACGGGATCTCACTATGCAGTTCAGGGTGGCCTTGAGCTACTTTGTAGCTCAGAGTGGTCTCAAACTCACAATGATCCTCCTGCCTCAGCCTCCCAAGTGCTGGGATTACAGGTGTGGGCCACCATATCCGGCTTGTTTGGAGGTTTCTTAAATGATATATTTAGTAATATGTCAGAGGCAAGTATTTGGATGTGTTCTTGTGTATTGATGTGTGTGTGCGTGTGTGTGAATGTGGTCATGGCACTATTTACATCAAGTGTGGAAAGTATATAAAGGAGAGCTAAGTAGATTGGCATACACCCATATCCCCAGCTAATCAGAAGGCAAGAGAACTACAAGTTTGAAACAAGTGTGCAGTTAAACTAGACCATATTTCATAATTTTAAGAAGTTTCTTAGGGGTTGAGGATTTAGCTCAGTGGCATAAGCACCTGCCTTGCAAGCATGAAGTCATGAATTAGATCCTTAGTAACCCCCACCCCCAAAAAAAAGCTTTTTAAAGGAATACGATGTAGCTTAGGGCTAGAGTACTTGCCTAATAAGTATAAACACCTGGGCTTAATTTCAAATAATTAGAGGAAAAAAAGTATTTTTAGGCTATGTGAATATATTGTGAATATATATATTTATATACCTGCCTATCATTTATGTTTGTTTTGCAGTGTACTAGTAATTCTCAAATAATTACATATGTGCCACTAAAATGGTTTATTTTATTGATAAATATTGAATAATTTATCTTTACCATCATGGATTGTATAAAAAATGAAACTATAGCCCTCTGACATCAGCCTACTTGGCTTCAAGTCTTAGGTTCCCTTGACATAATCAAATTAGCTGGCTCTCTGTGTCTGAATTTTCCTATCTGTAAGGTAGGAATGAGAGTACTCACCTCGTATGGGTGGTTATGATATATAAAAGTGGGGGCCTGCTGCATATATACTGTATAATTAAATATTAGCAGTTTTTGTTATTTTTTCAAATTTTCCCAGTCCAACTTTCATATGTGTTAATATGTATGTGTATGCTTATATGCAGATAATTATCTTTTTATGTATATTGACTCAAGAGATTATACTAAAGTTAAGAGCAGAGCTCCAATGAATGTTAACATTAGTTTTTATTGGAATGATACCAACATTGCTTAAAATTTCAAAGAATATAAAAAAGCTTATAAAGTGGAGCTGTTTCCTGTGCTTGCTGCTGCTATTCTCTATAAATACTTTGGTTTTTCTAAGGAATATATGTGCACTACTGTCTGTTGCCACTGTGGACTTTCAGTTATGGTAGGTGGCGATTTTGTTCTCATGGCCTAGTTTCTGCTGTGCTTCCCTTCCTCAATATTTCCAATATAATTATGGTACAGTTCTTAGTTTAATCAACATTCAACATTTATATTATTATACCAATGCAAGTATTACTTCCTGTTGAACTATTATTCCCCCTCTTGCTTAATAATTCCTTTTTTTAAATTCTTTTTTAGTGTGATTAATTTTTTTTGTATCTTTTGACTGATTACGCTCATAGATTACAGCTTCTATCAGTGTATTTTTCCTATAAGAATAATTACATCGTCAACCTTGTCAGCTTTAGTTCTCTTTATCCCTCTTGTATCCTAGGAGAAATCTCTGTCCTCTGTGTCTGTGAAGTTCTATTATGCAGCTCTTGTGGTAGACTTTCCTCTGTAGTCACCCTTAATACTCTTCTTGCCCTGTTGTAGGCTGGAATCCATGTTGATTTCCTTTTTCCCCTTAATGACATACACCTTCCTCTAGATTCATCAGATTTAAAACATGGTACAGCGGCGGAAGGATGTGATGATGGCAGCCCCCAAGAAGTATCTTTGGAGTCCACCATTTACTTTACATCTAGTGCATAGTGTTCTGGGATTGTCTTTTCCCATCATCCTATGGATTTCCTTTCCTCTCTCCCGTGTTCTTTCGTTCCTTAATTTACTCTTTCACTCTGGTGAAGAATATACCCCCTCCTAGCTTCCTGAGGAAGGTTACATAGTAGGTAGGTCTCTGGATTTGTGCTCTCAGAGTGACTTAGTGGCTCATGTCCATGTTTCTGTCATCTTGGCAAGCTGCTCGGGCTGGAATACGGATTTCTACCCTGGAAATACTTTTCCTTCAGGATTGTGAAGTCATTCACAACGGTCCCTTGCCTGCCTGGTTGCTGAAATAGCTGCAGCCCTTCGATGACTGATCCTTCTGTATTAGTCACCCATTGTGTTGGGGATTTGCATTATGTCTTTTTGATCTGGATATTGAGGTCCTTGATTCTAGAGAATTTTCTGGCATTACTTTGTTTATACTTTCTTCTGTTTTTTCTTTTCTCTCTTCTCAGAGTTCCTATTAAGTGTTGGGTTTCTAATACTGAACTTTGTATCTTTTCTGCTGTTTTCTATTTTTTAATCTCTTTGTTCTCCTTTCTGGGAGGGTGTTTTATCTTCTGATCTTTCTTTCTTTTTTTTCTTTTTTTTTAAGACAGGGTCTTGTATAGCCTTCAAAACAATTCTCCTATCTCAGCCTCCCGAGTAGTGGAATTACAAGCATGCACCATTACACCTGACCCTTCCTTTTTTGTGTGTTTTTATTGGTACCAGGAATCGAACTCACGACTGCCTGCTTGCAAGGCAGGCGCTTATGCCGCTGAGCTAAATCCCCAGCCCCTCTTTCTTTTTTGAGACAGTGTTTGATTATGTGTTCAAGCTGGCCTTGAACCCACTTTGTAGTCCAGTCTAGCCTTAAACTCAGAGCAGTCCTCCTTCCTTGGCCCCCCTAGAGCTGTGATTATAGGCATGCACCAGTTTGCCTAGGTTTTTCTTTAGCTTTTTCTTTTTTTTTTTTTAGTACTGGGGTGCAAACTCATGATCTTGCGCTTGCCAGGCAGGCACTTACACCGCTGAGCTAAATCCCCAGCTCATCTGTTTTGTTTTTTCTTCTTTAGCTTTTAATTTAATTTTATTTTCTATTTTGAGACAGGGCCTCACTGAGTTGTTCAGGTGCCTAGACAGGGCTCAAATTTGAGACCCCATGGCTTCAGCCTCCTGAAAGTTGAGGTTATATATAGGTTTGCTCACCACATCTAGTGCATGGCCTTTTTTTTTTTCCTCTCCAGAGAGATTAAGGTTCCTGCCACAGTGAAAGAGGAGCATTTGCCTGTGCATAGTTTTAACCATTTCTCAAACAGCTTTTGCCCAATTCTTTTTAGCCCCCTCTTCTTTTCCCACAGTTCCAGAGCTAATTAGTGCTGTTATTTCCCAAGCTTTTGAGCCCCAGTAATATAAATCAGACTGGATCTCCATTTATTTTCTACTGCTAACTTATGATTCAGCTTTCTCTGATTTACTTAATCAGTTATCATTTGCCCATCCACTTTCCTGCTTGACAAATGCTAGGAAAACAAAAAAAGAAAGAAAGAATCTCTTGACTAAATTAGATGTAAGTGTTCCTTCTTTATCTTATCTTTGAAGTCTCAATTTTTTAAAATGTCAGTTCTTCATGTATTTTTGAATCATGAGTAAAATAAGATATTTACATATAATTTGGGAAATAGATATCTCATAGTTTTACATTATTATAGTTTAACCATATACAAATAAGTATAACACTTTGTTATACTTTCTGTGTTTTTTCCTGCTTCCTTCTCCCAATAAACCATATTCCATGTGAGGACATAATCTTTGAGAACATTTCTAACAAATACACAAGGTATGATTGAAAAATACAGTGAATATTTAATTGTTTAAAATGTATCACAGTAAAAGACACATTACCATTCATCTCCCTCGTAATATTCCCTCTTACTTCAAACAGACATATCCTATCATTCTTACCACTTTCTGAAACAGTTTTGGAAGTCCTCTTTCATGAGTGTCTTACTATACTGTCATGGCTATCTTGATATCCTGAATTGGTTAAAAATACTTACCATTTGTGATCATTGTTGACTCTGGAGAAGAGCCAGAAGTCACACAGTGCCACAGTGAGTAAGGTAGATGAAGACACATTGTAAGGTTTTTTGAGCCTGCTCTTCTGTTGGATATCCTGCAGCAGTAACATTCACCTTATTTTTCAATCAGATCTTGTACAAACACTCAGGAAAGAATACTTTAGAACTGCTTTGGAAAGTGGCAAGAACAATAGGTAAATGTGTTCAAAGTAAGGGGGAATATTTTGAGGAAGATTAATAACATCTTTACTGTAGTGATTTTTAAATTAAATAAAAATTCAGGTATATTTTGGTCACCCTTATGTAATCATTTGATTCTGTATGTCATAAGCAATTCTCCATATCCAGAATACAGTTTTTGAAAACAAAATTTTTAATAGCTTTATAATATGATCTTCATATGGTTATATTGATTTATTGTCTTATTGATAAAAACTTACATTTTTCCGTTTCATTTTCTGACTCTAAATTACTCTAGGCCAGTGGAGGTGGACATTTTAGAGCTTTCAGTGATAACCAACAATCTGCCATATGTGCACCACCACTGCTCTGGATTATATTCTTAGCAAAGTCAGCAAGCATTTGTCTTGTTGGTGATGGAATCTTCAGTGCTTAACCCATGTCTCACTTAGAATGGTGGTTTAGGGAATGTTTTGTTACACACAAAAGTCTGTGAAGGGCCAGGGATTTAGCTCAGCTGCGTAAGCACCTGCCTGGCAAGTGCTAGGTCGTGAGTTCAAGGCCTGGTTCCAAAAAAAAAGTCTATGAAGGGCTACTACTGGACTAGAAGATACAAACTCTTTGCCGGTGTTAATTTGTTTTCCTTTTATTCTTTGATTCAGAATAAGAAACAAGGATGTAAAAATGAGGAGGTGCTTGCTGTACTTGGCCATGAACTGGGGCACTGGAAGTTGGGACATACAGTCAAAAATATCATTATTAGCCAGGTAAGTTGTTTTTTTTTTTTTTTTTTGTCTTTTTCGTTTTTATCAGTACCAGGGATCGAACTAGGGATCGAACTCACGACTGCCTGCTTCCAAGGCAGGCGATTATGCCGCTGAGCTAAATCCCCAGCCCCAGCCAGGTAAGTTTGAAATGACTATTTTTATAGCACAGTCATCAGTTTAGCAGTTTGTCAGGCAAAAGAGGTCATATAGAGAGGTTAAGACGAACTTGAACCTAAGGAGGCAGCCCATGCCTGTAATCCTAACTCTGTAAGAGGCCGAGGCAGAGTATAAGAAGTTTAAGTTCAGGCTGGGTAATTTAATAAGACTCTGTCACAATTTTTTTTTTTTTTTTTGAGACAGAGTGTCACCTGATAGTTCAGGGTGGTCTTGAACTAGAGAACTCTTGCTAAAAGTCTAGTGTAAAGACCCGGGGTTCAATCCTAAGTACCATAAAAACATAAATAAAAATAAAAATGGTTGAGAATGTAACTCAGTCATAGAACATCCCCAAGTTACAGGTATCACAAAAAAAGAGAAACTTCATAGCCAGGCTTCCTGCCTCAATTTCCTTTGTGTCCTCAGGTAGGTTCCTTAAGTTCTCTCAGCTGTTTCTTCCTTCATTAAATAATGATACTTCATAGAACTAATAATTAAATGAATGATACCTGTTGGAGGCTACCTGGAGTGAGGTAACTGTTATGTAAATGTTTATTGTTATCACCTTCATTGTCACCACATTCAGAGTGGTTTAGATGTAAGAGCTGTGAGGATCAAAATGAGCAAGCACAGATAAATAGGACATTACAATGCTTGGCCCCACCTCCCATGCTGGGTATAAAACCTGAGGCCCCGGGCATGCTAGGCAAGCCCCATACCACTAAACCGTTCCCAGCTCTTAACATGCTGTTTAAGAATGATTTTGATCATTTAAAAGTAATTATAGGAAATATTAAGGACAATTATAGGAAATATAAAGAAGAAGATCATTTCAATAATATTCCTGCCCTGGGTGTTAATGTATCAGAATGAGCAGGTTTGCACTTGTGAATGAAGGAGCACTAAATCCTGTGCACTGGTTCTAAGTATATGGAACCTTCCCTGAGTCTTAGGTTGTCTCTGTACCTGTCAGAAAGGCTGCCTAATTGGTTTTGGGGGATGAGTGGCACAGGAAGTCTGCCTGTCGCCTTAGCTCTTTAGGTATAAAAGTAGGTTTCTGGCTTAGAGGTGTGTTGTATGGATACATGCAGTCAGTAAAACATTAAATAAATATAATTCAAGTTCAAATTAAGTGTTTGGTCTAGTAAGGAAAATTACTGCCCTTTCCTTCGCCCTGAAGGAACGAGTTCAGGAAATTGGCCTATCAATTATTTGAGCTGGCCCCTTGTCAGGCTGGGGTCAGTTGCATCTCCCAGCAGACTGGGCCAGTGGGGAGAAGTCTATTGTTGACTAATACACCAACTCCATCTCTGTCATCTTGACCACTGTTCATGAGCCCCTTGACCATGTTCTGAAGTGGCTGTGGAAGAGGCTGATGCCACAGAGCAGGCACCAAGAGCTTCCTCTCTTCTTGGGATTCATATTAGGCCAAGGATTAGCATCCTCTGATTTTGGAAGCTTCTCACGTGTCTCCCAGTAGTTGTCTCTAGTTGAGTGGGCAAACCTGTGGCTCACATGACACAGATGGCTGTTTATCATTGAAAGCTCTAAAAGGTTCGTCATCCCTGCTCTATAATTTGTTCCAAAGCCCTCATCCATCTAAGCACAGGTAGCCGGCTGCTAGTAAATCACAGACAGTCTGCTTAAAATTGTCGTGGCTTCGGGGCTGGAGATTAAGCTCAGTGGCTAAGTGCCTGCCTTGCAAGCCTGTGGTCGTGAGTTCAATCCCTGGTACTGGTAAAAACACCAAAAAAAAAAAAAAAAAAAAAAAAAAAATTTGCCCTGGCTTAAAAGGCCTCCCTTTGCACTGCCTTCCAAGCTGGCATACTGTATTGTCATGTATATAACAGGCTGCAAGTCTTTTTTTTTTTTTTAATTTGTTTTTGAGACAAGGTCTCATTATATAGTTCAGGCTGGCCTTGAGCTCACTTTGTAGCCCAGGCTGGTCTCAAACTCAATGATTCTGCTGGCTCAGGCTCCTGAGTTCCAGAGTTCCAGGCGTGAGCCCCCACGCCCGGCCAGGCTCCAGTGCTTTTCTCTTCTTCCGTTGAGTGATTGTAGGAAACTCCTCAGAAGGAAGGACGATTGAAGGGCGGAACAGCTTCAGGAGTCAACATACCAGAGTAGGAACACCTGCTTTTTTCTTCTGCCTTCTGGTTTGCTTCATTTACACACACCTTTGTGTACATATCCACCTGATGATGGATGCCCTGGGGATACCAGTTTCTGGCTGGGTGGCTCCATAGCATCTGGCTCAGAAAGAACAGCTCAGGTGTCCTATGGCCAGGGAGCCTCCATCTAGGAGGGCCCAGTAGCAACCCAAATGAAAAGAACAATAGTCACTTGACAAAAATAGACTATGTATCTGGGCACCTTCATTGTAAGCTTCTGGCTGGAGCTTGTCACATGGACCCACTGTGTGATTAGGGCTGAGTCCCAGAGCCTGGGCCCCTGACCATGCTGTGTGGCAGCATCTGCATTACCCTGGTAAATGGCTGGAGCAGCACACTTAATTATGGTATGTGTGGCCTCCAAGTTTGTAGGAGAAAAGAATGGCATTTGTTCTCAACGTTTATGTCTAGTACAAAGACGGTATGGTCTAGAACAGGCTTTTGCTTTTTTTGGGGGGGGGGCAGGGGTACTGGGAATTGAACTCAGGACCTCATGCTTTCCAGGCAGATGCTGTGCTGCTGAGCTGTATTCCCACCCCAGGCTTCTGATTTTTTTTTCCCTCCCTTTCTTGTGTATTAGTAAAGATAGCTGCATTTTTTTTTCTTTGATCGTCCTGATCCATACAACTCCTAAAGAGTGCTCAAGGGAAACCTGTTGCTTTGTAGCCTCACATCATAGCTGAATTGGAGTCTTTGTGTCTGATTGTGGTCTTACAGAATAAATCCAGAATCATTCTAACTCCTTCGCTTTGGAGAGAAAATGTCCCATTGCTATTGATTACATCAGCCCCTCAATGATAAAAACCACATCAAGCCTTCCCTGGCAGAAAACATTTAACGTTAACATTTACACATTTAGGAAGTTTTATTTGCCCTTTGATATTAAAAGAACTGTAAAGCTACCTAAGTAACTTTTGCTATATTCACACTATTAATCTCACTTAAAATTCCATCTTGATTCCTGGTTGTGCTGTTGTGATCTGCTTATCCCCCAGTGAAATGCTCAGCAAATAACTTAAAACTTCATGTCCTGTTTTCTAGATGAATTCTTTCCTGTGTTTTTTCTTATTTGCTGTATTAATTGGTCAAAAGGAGCTTTTTGCTGCATTTGGTTTTTACGATAGCCAGCCTACTCTAATTGGACTGCTGATCATCTTCCAGTTTATTTTTTCACCTTACAATGAGGTAATGTGTAATCTTTAAAATTCTCTCCCATAACCTTTTTCCTGTTATAGATCTAAACCCTTTAGGGTAGTATAAAAAGAAGTCAACAAAATTGTACAGCTTTAACAAGTAGTTGAAATAGTCTTTTAGTCCCCAGATTGACTGATCATTATCAAAAAATAACAGAAAAATCCAAGCTTCTATATATTTATTTATTTGTTGGGTAGGAGTAGAGGATTAGATTTAGGCAGTGAAAACCTTGGTATTACATATCCTCAGAGATTTAGTAGATGGAGGCGATCGATTGGAAGGCCACATCCTGGGTACGCTAGGCCATGTATTCACTGGTTCTTGGGCAGAATCTTCTGTGTGAAAGGACAAAACCAATGATAATTGAGTGTATCAATGGCCAGATTAAAAGAGGCTGTATGACAGTGTAGATTATGTGGATTTATGACTGTCTGCCTAAAATAGGTCAGATGCCGTAAAGCAGAAATAAGATTGCTGCAGAACATATAAAATGCCTGCCTTTGTGCTTGGCACATGGCAGATTCTCAAAGACTGAAATTTTTAAAAATTAATTAATTTTTACAATGGGATCTCACTGTGTAGTTCAGGCTGGCCTTAAAAATCACCAAGTAAGCCAGGCTGGCCTCGAACTCAGAGAGATCTTCCTGCCTCAGCCTCCTTGATGCTGGGATTACAGGTGTGTGCCATCATACCCTGCTAAAAAAGCTGCAGTTTTTTTTAGTAAGGATGATATTCATATATATATATTTATGATCTGCTTGCCTGTAGCAAAAAAGGCTCAGTCTAGAATAATCACTCCACCCCAGGCTTCATTTGCCTGCCTTTGTCTTATGCTCAACAATCAGCTTTGGAACCCTTCAGTGACAGTGGAGAGCTGGGCCACTAAAAACTCTCTTTCCTTTCCTTTTGCAGGTTCTTTCTTTTTGTCTCACAGTCCTAAGCCGCAGATTTGAGTTCCAGGCTGATGCCTTTGCCAGGAAACTTGGGAAGGCTAAAGACTTATATTCTGCTTTGATCAAACTAAACAAAGATAATTTGGGATTCCCTGTTTCTGACTGGTTGTTTTCAATGTGGCATTATTCTCATCCTCCGCTGCTAGAGAGACTTCAGGCTTTGAAAAGTGCAAAACAAGACTGAGATGCCGAGAGCGTGTGACCGAAGACATCAGTATTTCTGTCCTGGCAGCATGCTCCTGCTCTTGGTGTTTTAAAACAATTTTTTTTCTTTTTTTGTAAGAGAAACAATTAGGTACTGAAAAGCCCAGATTTAAATACATTGAATATCTCATTTCAAAAATGATTTTAATAACTTCTTAAAACACTGGATAAAATTTTGAAGCTTACTGTTTTTAACAGTATAATTTTACCTTCGATCTGATTTTTCCATCAGTTACTATCCAAGGAAATGCAGCACTTGTATCTTCTCTCGCGTGGGTCTGCGTGTAAGGGCTGCGAGGCACATGTGGAGCGAGCCCCTCCTCTCATCCTTTCTCAAGACGGAAACAGTCCTGAGTCCCACTGTTCCTGGCTAAGCTGAAACTTGTTTTTACCTTCCTGCTGTTGTGATTTATCCTGGCCAATCAGTGTTTTCAATAAAAAAGATAACGGTTTCTTTTATAAGCATTGTTAGAAGTAGGTTTTGCTGTGCTACCAGATTCCAGCTCTCTTCTTTCTCTTGCTGTCCGCTGATCAGAAGTTCTTTTGTACTTTTATTATTATTATTATTGTTATTATTATTATTATTATTATACCAGGAATAGAACTCACGACATCTCGCTTGCCAGGCAGGCGCTGTGCCGCTGAACTGTATCCCCATCTGATCAGAAATTTTTTTTTTTTGTCATTTTTGAGACAGGGTCTCACTATGCATTTTAGCTCACTTTGTAGCCCAAGCTGGTCTCAAATTAAGACGATCCTCCTGCCTCAACCTCCTGAATGCTGGGATTATAGGAGTGTGCCACCACACCCGGCTTTTTTAAAAAATTTCTGATAGTGCTTTGAAATTAGAAATTACATGTAGGGTGTTTTAAATCAGTGGATTTCTTTTTTTTTCTTTCTTTCTTTTGGTACCAGAGAGAGAACTTGTGACCTCATGCTTGCCAGGCAGGCGCTCATGCTGCTGAGCTAAATTCCCAGCCCCCTTTCTTTTTTTTTTGTAATCTGTTTTTGCTTTTGCTTTCACCCTTAGGTAGGGTCTCACTAGGGTTATATTAGCTTTTTTTCATTCATTCATTCTTTTTTTTTTTTGTCTTTTTCCTTTTTATTGGTACCAGGGATCGAACTCACAACCGCCGCTGAGCTAAATCCCCAGCCCCCATTCTTTTTTTTTTTTTTTTTTTTGAGATAAGGTTTTGCCATTCAGTTCAGGCTGGGCTTGAACTCATTATGCAACCCAGACTGGCCTTGACCTCACAGCAATCCTCCTGCCTCAGTGAGTGTTGAGATTACTGGTGTACACTACCATGCCTGGCACTCATTCATTCCCTTTTATTCAATAAATAGTTATTCTGGCATTAGCAGAAATTGTTATATTGAACGGGTTTTATAATGTTAAAAGGTGCAGGATATGGAAAAAAAGAAATTACGTTTTAAGAGACTTAAGGGACACATATGAATGATTCTCTTAGAACATTTCGGGAAAAATATAGTTTTCTATCTCTTTCAAGGACAGAAGAGTTGGTTTTATTTTTGTAACTTTTATCAGTAGTCATAAGTATGATTAGTGCTGAGGTCATTTTTAAAACTTAATAATTCTTGATATGTGGATAATGTTTACTTTCCAAAAATTGTTATGAAAGATTCCTAGTTTTAAAAGCTGTATGTTTGACTGCTTTAAATCTGTCCACTTTCTGAATGAGAATTTACTTTGTGTCTAATACTCCATCTCACTGATAATGTTTACTTTCTGGGCATTTATTCCGAAGTAGGTTTGATTGTGTACCTTTGGTATCTGGCCATACAGTCTTTTGCTCAGCTGAAATTTGAGTGATGTCTTCACATGGAAATATAATAAAAATTAAAATCTCATTTAGTACTGCATTGTTTATTTTCCCACAGCTAACGCAGAACCACCTCTGTGGTTTTTATCCAGCATCTTTTTCTTGTGACTTCAGGCTCTAAGAACTGCCTTTTATTCCTTCTGTGCCTTTAAATACAAAGTTAAGTTCTGCACAAGTGAAACATTAAAAATTGCCAATGTAGACTTGTGTACCTTGTCTTTAATTTGACGTAATTTGTGTGTCATGTATGCCGAGATGTGTGTTTCTTAGCCTTACAAAAATTGGATGGTAGTCAGTGAAGAGTCGTGTGAAGAAATGGCCCTAATGCTGAATGATCCACACTGTCCCCAGGGCTCGTCCAGGGTCCTTTTCACGATGACTTCTTTCTCTGAAGACCCTGGTTCTTGCTGATGTTTCCTGACAACATTCCTTTGGAGTCAGTCCTCCTCCATTTTTGTAATTTCAGATTGTCTCTGGCCTGCCTGGCCTGCCCTAGTTGCCTCTGGTCTTGCTGACTCACCAGTGTGGCACAGTCATTAGCTATGTGCTATGTGACCACCCTTTTGCCCAGTATCTGGATGGTGAGGACTCAGGGAAGGTAACAGAAGACTGGTGGGTTCTTGAGGTCCTGACCAAGCAGCAAGAGGAGATAGGCCAACCACAGAAGGAAAGAGTGGCACCTGCACCCTAAGTCTCACAGACAGGACCAGGGTCCAGTGGGGCTAATCCTTGGGTAAAGAGGCATGACCCCAGCAAGGTGAATCTCTGATTCCAAGGCAGAGTGGGCTATGTCTGTATACTGCCTTTATCTAAGTCGATCAATTGGTGAAATCTAAGAGCTACTAGTAAATTTTGCCTCTGTTTGGGTAGGAGCAAAATTCTTGGAATAAATAGAATGACTTTAGTACCAATGATGATGGTCCAAGCTTTCTCCATATACTTTATGCTCACTGCTTATCCTTTATGTACATTTCCCTTCTCTGAAGACGCTTCCTTCTGCTTGGTGTTTTCCATCAGTGTTTTGCATACTTCTGCACATAAATACTTTATGTAGCTTTTGACTGTTTTGAGTATTCTATCAGCAGCAGCAGAAAACTTACTAAATAGCAGTTGAGAGCCTGAAGTTCTGTCCTTGGGAACTGTACAAAGTACATTACCAAGAACATGTACTCTAAAGCTTGTACCCAAATTTATAACAAAAGACCTTTTTAGGGGGAGGGAGATTGTGCTGGGCATTGAACCCAGGGCCTCATGAATCTAGGCAAACACTCTACTATTGGCCTGTATCGCCAGCCCAGCCAAAAACTGGGTTTAAAACCACAACTGGGTTGGGGATTTAGCTCGGTGGTACAGTATTTATCCAGCATGCACAAGGCTCTGGATTTGATCACAGTACTACAAATACACCCACAATGATGTGAGCAAGTGACTTGAAAGCATGTGTGGGTCAGGCTAAGTAGTTTGTTTGGAAAGCAAAAATAATCCATTGTGAAGTATTCAAACAACATGGCCAGGTAAATCTTGGGCTGTTATCCAGGAAGCTTTCCAGAGAGGAAAATTTCCTAAATGATTTGACTAGACATGAGCCAGGAGTCCTGTGTTCTAAAACTTGTGCAATCGGACTGCCTCCACCTGGTGAGCACACAGCTGCCCTGCCTTGGGATCAGAGCTCTCCCCCAACTCACTAGATGGTAGTAACAGGTAAGGCATGGCAGGCCTTTGACCAGGATGCAAAAATGCTAGTGTTTGTCTTGAGGCTTTCAAGAGAGATCACATTCACATAATTTTTATTATCGTATATTATGACACTTGCTGTACATTATTATTAGTAATTGTGAAGCTCTTACTGTGCCTAATCTATCAGGGAGACTATCTTAGGTATATATGTATAGGAGAAAAACAGTGGTAATGGCTTAACAGAAAATTCAAAATGTGGAAACTAGCTAGCAACTACACCATATTGAGATAGGATGTGTCATCTGGCCCATTCCATAGCTGGACCACCAAACCCACTCAGCCTTGACTGACTGCATCCAGCTGCTGTCTGTAGATAGTCTGGTCCAGGTCAACTTAACCCAGTCCAGCTGCAGTGCTTTTATTTTCCTGTTTCACTAACCTGTTCCAAGGACTGTCTAGCCTAGTCAAGGACATACACGATTTTACCTACCTCGTTCCAACTCCCTTGCAAGATTCTCCCGCCTTAGGATAAACAATCCTTCCAACTGCATCTGCCAAATTTGCCTAACAACATATGATGCAGTCGATAACTGATTTCCTATTGGCTTTTGTACTTCCTGCTTGCAAACTATATAATCAAAACCCAAAGCTGATTCGGGGCTGGTGATTTGAAACTGGTCTTACTGCCAGTCTGCTGGCAAAATAAACAGTTTACCTTCCAACTCCTTGTTGCAAGATGCCGTCCTTTGAATTGGGTACCAGATTTCTGTAACAACAGGACTCACCTGAACAAGTACCAGGCATTTCAGGAACAGGGAAGCACAAGAGGGAAGCTCAAAGTGGGAGCCAGCCTGGTGTTTGAAAAACCCAGAAAACCAGAGAGACTGGGATGCTGGGTGCTGGAAAGGAAGAGTGGGAGGTAAAGCTGGGAGAGCAGATTTTGCAGGCCGTCATCAAAATTCAAGCTTTCCTTGGGTGTGGCGGGAAGCCATGGAAGGTTTGGAGGCAACTCACAGGATCTGACTTGAGCTTAGCAGGTGCATCCTGGCTTCTGTGTTAGGAACAGGGGTCCACTTGGTAGTCCTCCCAGTGCTTTCGGCAAGATGTCATGGGGCCAGACTGCAGTGGTGGTCGGGTGCAGGCTGTGTCCTGGAGGAGTGGTGCTGGACTCTGCAAGGGACCGGGCTGTCTTGCTGCAAGGTCCTTTTTGTGAAGCTGCTTAAACCCTCCTCTTCCTTTGTGCAAATGGAAGGTGATTTTCTCCCTCAGTATTATTATTACTATTTTTCCCCTCAAGATTTGGTTGTGGAGGGCACAGTCCATATTCTTGGCAATGAAAACAACCCAGACACTCAGGCTATCTAGAACATACAGCCACACACAAACCCAGGACAGGTCCCTTCCTTCCTGAAGTTATAGTTGTTGGAGTCTTTTTCCTTTGAGCATCCTGACCATATTATATTTTTTGAGCACCTGCTTTGTGCTAGAAACTGGCCAATGTGCTGGAGAAGGAACAGGAAATGAGAGAACACAGTCCCGCCCTGGCCGAGCTCATATTCTAGTGTCTCGGATGGACAGTGAGACATGCTGAGGAAAAAGTCAGATCCTCTCCCATGAGGATCTGAAATGTCAGGGTAGAAAGGAAGCTGATTTTGAGGAAAAACGTGCAGCAAGGAGGCTGGCAGAAGTAGCACTGGGGACACATTGCAGACAGCGGGTACAGACAGTAAGTGTGACATGTCTGAAGAACAGCACAGGGCTGGCATTGCCGGAGTGGAACGGACCACAGTCTCAGCAGTGTGAGGTCAGAAGATTGGAGGCACATGGAGGACTTGTCACACGTGAAGTGATCTAAGTGACGTTCACTTACCAGAAGTCTTACAAAAGGTAGGAGCCACCTGTCCCTAGGAATTAGTCCCCGTTTAGCTCAACTGCCTGAATGGTAGGAAACGAGGTACAACTCTCCATGAGATTTGTGAATCAGCAGCTTCTCCGTGGAACCAATACCCTCCAGTGAGCCCAGTCTCAGTCCCAGCAAGGGACAGGGCAGTGTCCCCAGGGCCAGTATGTGGGGCAACTTCAAGGAGCAGACTCTAAAGCCAAGATTTTGGATACTAGAACCAAGAATGTGACTCTGCCTAGGGAAGAGAGAACCCTCCATGCCATGGGCTAGGGCAGCTCTTGTCCTCTACTGGGCCCCAGATCCTCCACATCTCCCTGGCAGCCACACAGCTCTGGGCCTTCTCTGGGGCCTGAGACAACCCTAGTGGAAAAACATGTGCGTTGAGGGAGAAGTGAAGATGGCCAAGTTTATGGTGAGAAGCTGTGAGGCTTTGACTTTAGCAGATGCCTGGGCCCAGGCTAGAGTTGTGTACCTGCCTCCAGGGGGTTAGCAGAGGGTTTCATTTGATTTCAAAATGTCCTGGCTGGACTATAGAGCCATAGGCCAGAAGGGTACATATCAGATCTGAGCCAGACTCCCCTTGACTTTGATCATCCAGGCCTGGGTCTGTTTTTCTCACAGACCTGGGGGCCCGTGGAAGGCCACAGCTGAGCTGCTCCAGAGCCAGTATACAGTGGATACTGAACCTCACTGCCCAGGTGCTAGGCCCTGGTGTGACAAAGGATGGACTGTTGTTGGCTATGGCATAATTGAGTCCCTGCCATAGCAGTACTGGGAATGGTTTGGCAGCGGGTTGCTGTCCTGCCTACGCCCCAAGCTCTCCACATGGACGGTCCTCAGCAGGCCACACTGCTGTCCTAATGCTCACTGTTGAGGATGTGCTCAGATGAAGGGGTACCACCCCCTCCCTCCCAGCACCCTGACCGCTCTGTCCAGGCAATGAAGTCCAGCACCTTCCCACCCTAAATAGAAAAACACTGAGCCCAGCAACTCACATTGTGATTTATACCCAAGTTGAGGGCTTTTATTTACAAAGAGAGACCAGAATGGCGTTGAGGAAAGGGGGCTGGGAGAGAAAAACGCTGGAAAGAGGAGGGGGATGGGTGTTTAAATACTCCGATGGGAGGCAGGAAGGAAGGGGTGGGACTGGCTTAAAGAAGGCCACCTCAGTGTGGCCACCCATCAGCCGTCACCCAATAAGTCCAGAGAATGAGATTGGGAACCAGCGGGGACATCAGTCTACCTGCCCCAACAATGAGACGGCCAGTAGAAGATGCTGCAGATTAAGGAAACATCTGGTAACATCTGGTGGTGCTCCTGGAAGGAAAGTGACCCTGTTCCCTCAGAACTTTGACTTTCCAGCAAGACTTGTTCTGTTGACCTCAACTTTTCACTCTAATGCCCTCCCTTTCCTTCCCTTGCATTGTAGAACGCCTCGTCCTCAGGACCTCTGGGTCCTGTACCAAAGGTCCTGGGAAGCTGGCTCCCCGAGCTGGGAGCATGTCCACCTGGAGAGGACCCAGGATACTGGCAGGCTCTGTCCTGGCCTGCTGCTCAGGGTCCCTTAATGGATCCAGGCTCTGTGAGGCGGGCAGAGGTATAGGCTGACGCTCCAAGACAA